CATGTTACCATTTAAAAACTGATCAAACGCTGTCTGAGATAAAAAATTACACGCCAATTTGCATGTAAACCTGCTTTCAAGGCTAAATTTTTTTATTCTGGTTAATAGTAGTTTGTTTTAGACGTCTATTTCGAAAAAGAATGTGCTTCCGATACTGTATGATATTCAGTGCTACAGACCAGGAAATTCTTCAATTCAAGAAAATTCAGAAATTCGAGACAATTCTTTTGACCTTGGAATATCTTTCAACTCCTGAATTGTTTCTTACTGTAATTAAACTAATTCGAATATATAAAAATTACGAAAAATGTAAGATGAATGTTGTATAATAATGAATAAAGAAAAAGTGGTTACAGCCAAAACACCAATAAAATTAAATGTATAAAACTCTTTAACGTACAGGACAAAATATAACATGAAGAAACGCTTTATTAATATGAAAATTTAAAATGTTAATGAATTCAACTGGGTACGTTAACATTGATTCCAGATAATTTTTAATTTAGAAAAATATACTTTGGGAGTAACTAAGCCTTTCGATTAAAATTTCTCCACGTTTCTGAGAACAAAACCGTGCATATACGTATGAAGAACGCGTAGTTGAATGATGCCTATAGATTTTATTAAGTCTCAAAGAAACTGAAGCATAAGCGACTTACTAAAAGAAAGTTGGTCTTCTCTAAACTTGAGGTTGTTGCACGGGAAAAAAACTAGCGTGGAAAATATTTCTTGAAAATACCTGTACTCAACAGAACATAGTTTCGGCAAATTTTTTGCAACAAAAGCTTATGGAATGTTTGAAAAATACACAACGGCAATGTCGTCGAACATTTGTCTGTTATTATGGCAATTTAATTTGATTAAATAATTAAACTGATTTCGACTCTATTGATATAATCTGAATAATAGGTAATCTGAATAAAAAAAACTACACGTAGTAATACTGTCTACAAAACTATCAAGAATTTGACTAGCAAATGTCTTCTAAACTTTTTATAGGCATAGCCACATAATTAAGATATAACAAAATAATAATATAATAATATGGCGAACAAGAAGCAAATAAGATAGCAAGAGCCACATGCACGTAGCTCTGCAATAAATAAATAAATAAAACACATATATGTGCGATAAATGCATGCCAATAAATAAAACATGTACTGTTACGTGGCACCAGATTTGCCAAGTAATTTTCGACAATTGCCCTACGGCAATAACAGCAACAAACACAGCCGCTCCGACTCACCAACAGAGCTCCAACCGAAGCAAGTAATTATCATACGTAATATTCAGCTTGGAATGTCAGAGAACATACCTGCAGAAATAACGGTGAAGGAACAAGGCACCTCTTGCTTGCCAACGGAGTTAGCCGCATAGCACAAAAGCGTCCCGTAGTCGCGGTCAGACTCGGGACTGTACGCGAACACACTTTCCAGTTTCTTGCTTGTGTATCTGCCGAGAAAAAATGGAACTTGCTCATTTTTCAGCCGATATATGTACAAGCATCTTTCTAATATAATTAACATTTAATAATTGATATTTAACCGATGTGTTAATATGTGTAGTATTGATTAATTATGGTTTTATAATTTGTATTGCAGACTTAGGAGACTCATGTAAAACCCATTGCTGGATTCGAGGTCTTTGTTAACTGCTGGCTAAGCCTTCAGATAAGCAAACCGATTATTGATAATAATAGAAAAATCAGCACGGCTACTAATGCAAATTATTTATACGCGATTGATTCTTGCACATCACGATAACTGCACAAACGTGTGAAATATTTTCGGAATTTGTTAAGTTCCCGGATGGTGTTAGTCTCATCGATGAGGAGAAAAAAGTTGGAGTGTAGAGAAGCGTTGCTCTCTTAGGTCCCTGGACGACTAACACCCTGGTGATATCAGAGACGCTAATGATTTGCACTAAGAAATTTAGCAGAAACTTGAGCGCCCTTGCGTTTAATGAGGCGTCAGATAATTCGAAGTTTTACTGCCTCTAAATTTTCGGGCCTTCCCTCAAAGCGGAGACTTTATCTCCAGGCACCCGCGATGCAAAAACTCCACAATTTTTTGGTCTGTGGAACGTCATTGAAAAACCAAACGAAACGAGCGTTTGTGGTCCGAATGGTATGACAGTAAGCGTCTTAACTCAATTTTTCAAACATGGAATTAGAATAAATTATCATTGAAGTTATTCTGCAAGAGAAACATTTCTTTTCAGGAAGTAACAGTTTTTTGTTTATTTGTAAACTAAATTAAGTTGAGAACTATAGGAGTCTCATACATAAATAAAACTTTTGCGTATTTATGAGATATATGTCAATGAATATACACGCTGTTGTTACTTTTGCAGCATCGTTGTTGCAAAACAATGAATCAAGCATGACAAAAATCTTGGTTTATTTTATTTTAGCAGTCAAATCTAAGTGTATTCAAGCATTATTTAAATTAATATCAAACGAGCAGCGCAGGNTCAGGACAGTTTTATCTTGCGCTCCGTCATATTATACTTAAGGAATGATCAGTAGGAAGGCAGTCATGTCTATTGTTTGTCTGTGGGCAGTTTTGCCTTGCGCTCCATCATATTATACTTAAGGAATGATCAGGACTTGGCGATGTTAACGTCAAGCGCGTAATTGAATGACTCTCCCAGTGACGTTCCCCAAGCGTGCACTCCAGGACGAGCAAACTGCAAGCTTCGTCTTTTCTTGGCGACCCAAGCATGAATAATGCAGTAGGGCTTGCTAGTTGACCGCAGGCAGCCTTCTAAGATCCCGTAGAAATATTAAAACACTCTTCTTTTCATTTGAATTATATGCGCTCGAAACGTTTGGATTTTTCAAAACTAAAGAATTATGAAATATTATCTTGAAAATTTTCATAAATGTAAGAGGCATTAAGGAGTCGATCGCCATGACAAGGAGGAAATCAATCCATTAAAAATATATTCAATTGCATCAGAGATAATTTTGTGTGAAAATTTCAAGTCATCTATAACGACAGCTTTTATGAGTTAAAAATCATTGTGTTCACCACAGTTCAACAAATAGTTACACATGTTGTTTACTATAGTCTTACTTCTCTCGCGCTCTCATCGTTATAAAAGCTACTGTTAGATGGAGCAGGTTTACCGTATTTCAATCATCAAATGGTATAAAATATAATATATCATGGTTGATTTTTCTTTATTTTTTCTTACTTTGAAGATAACGAAATTTCCCGTTAAAATAGCAATAAGACGCATTTCGCGGGACACCAAAAATAAAAGCACTATACAGAAGCTTTATTCTCCGCACGACCTTTTATTAATGAATGCAGTCATTTGCAATGCGAGGCTACCAGGTTATTGGGAAACGTGAAGCCCTTCTCTCAGGCTGGCAGAGCTAATGAGAGCGACATCAAGCGAAAACATTGAGATGGCTAAACTAATTTGGATGACGGAGCAGCCATCAGACTTGGCCTTAAGCCGTGGTCACATCTGTGACCACAATAGCGATGGAAGAGTCCACAATGAGCATTAATTAACGGCTTTTGCTGCCTCTAGAAAAGTGGTGATGTGAACAGATGTGTTGGACTGTGCGCCCAGCTGAGGTAGTGACAATAATGGTGTCATAGACGTCAGGAATGATGGTGATGTGGAGTGTGGACACCGGACAGATGTAAAAAAATGCGCGCCTAACTGAAGTAGTAATTAGTAGTTATGATGGGTAAGATGCATTGTGATACCCATACTCCTCATGTAATATAAATCTCGTTACCAAATAACTTATATAAAATACAAATTTAAGATATTCACCAGAGTTTATACTCGTATAACGGGCCCATATTGCGGATCAATACGGTCTGGACAGGCGAATACCGCAGCGGCCACGTGCAGTGAACCACGCGATAACACGATACAATTTTGCACGCACGTAGCCCTTCGTGACTCTCCGGTGTGAATGGACTCTGACAACGAGGCTTTAATTACAATTACTAACTTCACAAGTGCAATCACGGCTACCATTCACGACAGAAGCTCGTTTCTTATACACCACGCTGTGATGAGCGAAGTCTAGCGTTCGGGTAGGAGGTTATTCGGACTGGTCATAAACCAGCCCGAATAATTAGAACTTCTTGAGCGAACTTTATTGCCCAAACGTAGAAAAAAAGATGACTCGTGTCAAGATCCGACCGATGAAAGCCTTGATTCTATGGCAAGAAACGTTTAATAGTTCGCAGCACGCATATATAAAAAAATGAAATAACCATTTTTAGCTAAATTTAAAGGGCGTTTCAATGGCCATTATTTCGAATCCTCGCAGTAATTTGTTTAAATTGTAGCATAAATGTCTTTATTCAGCTCAAGACGATCGATGGGTTTTTTATCATTCAACGATGAAGCGTATTTTAACACGTTAAGTGCGTCACGACCTACCGGTGAGTCACAGGGTCTTTTTTCCGGACAAATTCCGCTATTTATTTTTTTTAATTGCTTAGATTTATGTTATGATTTACGATGATGATACTTCCTTATTAAAATTTAAACAGTTAGAACAAAAGGAAAATCTAATTTTTGCACCGGAACCTACAAATTTACTGGTAGATGTTGACTTCTAGGAATTCCGAATCCTCGCAGTCATTTGTTTGAATTGTAGCATAAATGTCTTTAATCTGCTCAAGACGATCGATGAGTTTTTTATCATTCAACGATGAAGTGTATTTTAACACGTTGAGTGCGGCTCGACCTGCCGGTGGGTTACAGGGTCTTCATTTCCGGACAAATTCCGCTATTTAGTTTTTTTTTCAATTGCTTTGACCGACAAAAATTTATGATTATGATACTTCCTTATTAAATTTTAAAAAGTATGAACAAAAGGAAAATCTAATTTTTGCACCGGAACCTACGAATTTACTGGTAAATATTGACATATAGGCCATTTTTTGTCCACAGACTTGCCCGTTTTTAGGCCATCTGGCAACCCTATGGGTTGTATCGCCCTCGACGTGTTAAACTACCCAATTCTTAGACGCCTTTTGATCATATAGACATTTTATTATCATTTAAGTCAGTAATTCAGAACCTAGCTTGAAATCGTGCCCTCTTGAACTCGGGATATTTTTACAACGCCCTCATTAAATATCCATTTAGGAATCATGAAAAAAATTGTGAAACAAATGCAGATTTTTAGCGCATTTTCTCATTTATGGAAAAAATGCACTATTGTGCTCTCCATGTTCGTCTGTCCGTCTGTCTGTCCGTGACTTTAAGTTTTCGTCGACGAGAAAATGCGCTCTCTGTCACTCACTGCAGTGATTACTGAGTTATATTTTTTAAACTTGTACCTAGTCTCTGAGTACGATTGATTTACAAATTGGTGTATTTTTGAACGTAATACTGCTGCCAGAGCTTCCAATCTGAGAGGTTCTCCAATTGTGCCAAGTTTTCTGACCCTGACAATCCGTTCGGAGATTTCGAACGAACAAATAAGTCCATCGTCGCTCCCGTAGATTGTTTTGCCACACAACGGGGACCAGCGCGTTCCCGGTGTGAAATTTCCATCGTAACCGTGGGAAGTATGACATACGGGATGATCTTGCGTCGCCGATAAACATTTATAGTAGCGCTTGGAAATCCTAGATGAATTCATTGTCACGTGCGTTTCGCACGAAGACTAAGCATTAATTTACATAATAAAAAAATCAAAATACTCACTGCTTTCCTTTCTGCTCTGACAGTTTGGTGAGATATAAATCATTACTGTTGATTACAGAACGAAAAAATAAAAATATTAATTGCTATATTTTCTGCTCTGGCAGTTTGGTGAGATATTAGTCATAACTGTTGTACAAATTTTCGGGGAATGGTAACATTGGTTAGAGGTATATCATCTATCATCTTAGCAGTTCTAGTCATCACATTTTATTGAAACTAATGTTTCTAACTCTACGTTCTCTAAATAACAATTTATATTTGTTATTTAAGGCAGAAGATTTATAATGAGGAAAGGTTTGGCGAACAAATTAAATTTATTTTTCGTGTTAATGTTTACTTAACATAGAATCATTTACTTACGCATGCGTTCTAGATAACGCCCCCGTATGAGCTAACGGTGCGCCGTCGTGAAAAAATATACGCAAGGCAACTTTCAACTCACAATTAATTGTACAATTAATTGCTCAGAAGGGGGCGTTGTCATCCTATAGTAACGAATCCACCTTTAAATCAACACCAGCATGCAAGATTACCACTGGGATGGTTGATTTTATAAATAAGTTTTGACGATATATCCCAAAGCAGAACAGAGAAAATCGTGGCAGGTGTATCTGTAAACGTTTTCAAAATAGACGAATATATCAAGAAAAATAAAAACAGGTCTAAAAGACTATTCGTAGTTGCACACAAATTGAACAGCACGTGGCATAATCATTGTCCTAAAAAAGATGCATTAAGTGAATTTGCATTTCATGCGTACCGTAAACGTAATTAATTATCATACATTGAGCTAATTTTAATTCGCAAAAATCAGCCTCTCAGTTATGAAATAATAATTAACCTGTGAATTGAGTGAATTTTCATTTCATACGTAAACGCAATTAATCATCATGTATTTAGCTAATTGTAATTTGCAGAAAGCAGCCTCCAATTTATTAAATATTATACATTGAGTAAATTGAGCTAATTTTAATTCGCAGAAATCAGCCTCCCATTTATGAAATAATAGTTAACCTGTGAGGTTTGAGGATCTCAGTTTGTTCCCTCCTGACGGAGTTGTTGAAGGTCCAGTAGAAGGTGACATCGGGCGGGTCTGCGTCGACCCGGCAGCTGATGTTGACGGTCTCCTTCAACCCCACGCCTCGCAGGGAGGGCGCCACTGCGCACATCGGCGCGTCTAACGGAACATGGAAAAAGAATTATTATTGCAATGGATGAATGAATGATTAATTTTTCTCTACAAAAACCTTTTTCGGATAATTTTCCAGGTTTTTTTTTCTCGGATGATTAGAATATGCTGGGTATATTTTTTGCGGACGCTGTTGCAACACGATCTGGAGACACTCAGAACATGCCTTACTCTGCATATACACGCATTTATTCTCAATAGTTATTAATGTGCCTCGTGTAGATTTTTATAACAATTGAATTTTCTTCAAAAAACGACTAAAAAGCAACGAATCCACGCATAAAACAAATAAATATCATAACGAAAATAGGTACCGGCAACTTACTTTTCTTCCATTGAATGGGAATGTACAGAATTTTTTTACTACCCCCATGTACTCGTAGATGCGATCGTACGGGAAGATACAATGTAGGATTTGTAAGTTTGTACTCTGATAAGTTATACTCTGCAAGGGGGCGAGTATAAAATTCGGACCACGGGCGTCAGTGCGGGCACAGTTATAAACGAGTGTGCTAGAAGCCACACGTGGATCCCTTGGATAAATTGTCTGTCTAAATATTTAAATAGAAAAAGAGCGAACACAGAAATTTTTTCAGAAAAATTGGAAGAAGCGTGCATATACCACATATATATTAGTATTACACTAATTATGTGTTATAATTGCATGTGCATAAGTTGAGGGACTTGTATATTCCAGAGTTGGTCGCACTTCAAAAATATACGTAGGGGTGGAAAACTCTGTTCGTATATTATCCATGAAATTTACCCAATTATAAATTTTTCGCTTGATAAGAAGAATATTTGAAAATAAATGCCAGCTAAATTGAATTCGAAACAAGTGAAAAGATGGCACCATAATTTTAAAAAAAATTAAATTTCACTTCTTTAAAATTTGAAATTTCCAGGCTCGGGAAACCATGCCGCAATATGATATTGCATGTTAACCTCTTTTGCACGCAGGTTTAGGTGCGTTACCTTAAAAAATTCTTTCGTCAAATACAGAATCCTGCGCAAAATTTATCTCTTCCAGGTAAATATTTGTGTTGGTAATTCGATACAAGATATGTACTCCAATAAGTTTAGCATCCGACTACATTTCAGATAGACTTACCGACGTCACAATGAAAACTCGAGAATTCGAGAATATTAGCGTAATGAGATTTGTCGCAACTCAAAGACAGTAAATGAGACACAAATTTCCAATTGCGATGTTCAGAACGCAACTCAAAGACAGTAAATGACACACAAATTTCCAATTGCGATGTTCAGAACCAACAGAAATGTGACCGGTAACAAGTTTATCTTTGCGCACCGAAGTTGCCTGCGCTGCAAAATGAAGCAGCCTTATCCATGCCATAACATCATTCCCAGGCTCTCCTATATGATAATTTTTTCTTAAACCTTGCGCATAATCATTCATAATTTGTATCTTGTCACCAAAAAGACTACTGAGTCACTATTCTGATTAAAGTACGCATCTAATATGAATTATAGATACTTTTTTCATTCTAACTTCATTATGTTCATATCATCGTGCAAGTTAGAAATTGTACTTCTTGACTAATAATGTATAATTGGTGAATGTCAATTTCTAAACCACTATGTTCTTCTGCTCAGTTGAGCTTTAAATTGACAATTACTGCTAGAACTATAATTGCTGGATTTGCAAACGAAGCCTGTATATCAGTCTGCAAGAATTGTGAACTGAGGAACATAAATTATTAATAAAATTAATTGAGCACGAGGACTTTGAAAAAGGCTTTAGGTGTTGCGCTATTGATGCAAACAATTACTTGTTGATAAAACTTGCTTCTCGTGTTCACATCTTCCATTGGAATTACTCCTGTACATAGAGACCCATGCACTAGCTATGTATTCCAGCGAATAATATAAACTTAGAATGAAATTTCTTTAATGTTTCTCTGTAAACAATCTGAGAGATAACAGTTACAGTATCACAAATATTTCGCGTCGCTCCCCAGTTCCGCGAGTCTGTCGACCGCACGAGTTGGGTCACTGCGAAATTTCACGCCCTGGCGGCTAGGGGCGCAATTTTTTAAAACATGAGTCAGCGATGTCGATGTAACACATCCAACCCGCGAGGAATTCTGTGAGAGAGACTTGAATATAAGTTCTAACGGTGGCTCGTTTAGCAATATTCAAATACAGCGAAACTTCAGATTTATATGTGAATTTAAACTCATTTTTGTTATATTTTTGCCCATTTCTTCCCCTTTTCCGATGAATTCAATTCAATCATGCTTCTCGAATCTACCGTCGTCGAACGAAAAACCGAATTTATATTTTTCATACGAGTATCATTTCCTTTAAATTATATTGACTTTGAATATTTTATGGTTCACGGGTCATATTTTATATATTTTACATTAGCTTCTAAATTTGTGCAACACCAGGATGCAATCACAGCGACTTGCAGGCATGCAACTTGTATAGCAAGCAGTACGGCAAAACTCGACGCAAATAAGTTCTAGACTTCCAGATATTTCTAAGCAAGTTTTTTCATTAGTGCTCGCTTACAAAGTATGCAAACAATTTCACCCCGACGTCAAACTATTGGCGAAAGAATCCACGGATAAATTTAGTGGCAAACATCTCGAAATAAGCTCGAGACGCGAAGTTTGGCCCACGCTCGTGCTGCAAGCTGACTCCGAATAATTGGGACGATTTGCAGGCGCCGCCTCTAGAGCGTCTCGCGGTAATGAGATCGCGAGTACCCTAACAAAATTTAGAGTCGCCCCAGCTTCTGGTAATCCAAATCAGAAGCTGCCGTGTCTGTAAATTTTCACTGGGTACAGCCGCAGGTCAGGGAAGTGTGATAATTCTATGGCGAACCTATCTTCAGGCTACCTGCATTCCAATACCGTTGGTAGAACACCAGAAATGGAATGCAAACTCTTTGTATTTCGGTAATTGCACAGTGACGGGTTTTAACTATTTATTAGTACCCATCTAAAATTTTCATAAAGCAAGGTTTAAATCTAAATAGCTGAAAATTAGAAAATAAGTGCAATATAGATTATTATCTAATTTTGTCGCATAGCCTCAAAATTTAGCCCACGTAATCTTTTGTGCAAAGTGTTTACGGAAACATATTTAGAAATCCACAGCCGTTCTTAGATAATAAAGTGCGTAAATTACGCCTTGGAGAGACGAACATCGTAAATTTCTCCCAATAATGTTCAATTGTTCATGGGCTTGAAATTAGGACATAGCTTTTTATTTGATAAACCTGAATAATCCTCGAAAACCAAACTAATCTAACCCAAAGACGAAACATTCCAAGACCTAGCAATCCTGCCCACATGCACGGCTACCTCACATCACAAGGAAAATATTGCCTTCTAAAAACGTGCTCAAGCCCTAAATACTTGTTACTTGTTACTCTCTAAGAAGGATAAATCACAAAATTAACACTCATTAAACTCAATAAACTATAATTCAGAATTATGGCATCTCATGCGTATTATAACTTGCTGTGAACCAAGAATTTATTATCACAGAAAACGGTCATTAAATTCAACATTTCTTCCAATCCAATAATATTTAATACGGCGTTTACTTTAGTCATAAATTCCTGTCAAACTTGCAATTTAAAAAGACTAATGATACAAAAATATATTAAGTGATAATATTTAACTCGTCATTTTTTAGTTTTAAATTTTTGGTAAAATTGCAGTTTAGAAGACGAATGATACAAAAATATTAAGTGGTGATATTTACCTTGGCGTATTCTTTAATTATAAATTAACGGCAAACTTGCAATTTAAGAAGACTAATGACACAAAAAATATTAAGTGATGATATTTAACTCGGCCTTTTCTTTAATTTTAAATTCCCTTTAAACTTGCGATTTAACAAGACTAATGATACAAAAATTTTAAGTGATAATATATAACTCGGCGTTTTTTTTTTATTTTAAATTCCCGGTAAACTTGCAATTTATCAAGACTACAAAAAATATTAAGTGATAATATATAACTCGGCGTTTTCTTTAATTATAAATTCCCGTCAAACTTTCATTTTAACAAGACTAATGCTACAAAAAATATTAAGTGGTAATATATAACTCGGCGTTTTCTTTAATTTTAAATTCCCGGTAAACTTGCAATTTAAAAAAGACTAATGATACAAAAAAATATTAAGTGAGAAGGAATGCTTACATCTGATAGAGACATGCACAGGAGTGCTGCTGGTGTCGCCCTCGACGTTGCTGGCTCGGCACGTGTAGCTGCCGGCAGCAGCGCGGGACACTTGCTGCAGCACCAACGTCGTCTCGGACACCAACACACCGCCCTCCTTGTCCTGCGACAGCGCCGTGTCCTGCGACAACATGCAGCATCACATGAATGAACAGCGTAAATAGTGATATTGGAATGATTTTTTCACTATCTAATGAAATAAAAGTAAGAAATGCAGCTGAAAAACCAGCACGCCCCCTACCTTGTCCTGCGACAGCGCCGTGTCCTGTGACAACATGCAGCATCACATTAATGAGCAGCATAAATAGTGATATTGGAATGTTTTTTTTTAATATCTTGTGGAATAAAATGAAAAAAAAAAAAAACAGGGGGAAACTCGAATACCAGCACTCCCCCCTCCTTGTCCTGCGACAGCGCCGTGTCCTGCGACACCACGCAGCACCACATGAATGAACAGCATAAATAGGGATATTAGAATGATTTTTTTCACCATCTAATGGAAAAAAATGAAAACAGCTGGAAAACTCGGACACCAGCACGCCCCCCTCCTTGTCCTGCGACAGCGGAGTGTCCTGCGACAACATGCAGCACCACATGAATGAACAGCACAAATAGTGATATTGGAATGATTTTTCACTATCTAATGGAATAAAATGAAAAGTACAGGTAGAAAACTCGGACACCAGCACGCCCCCCTCCTTGTCCTGCGACAGCGCCGTGTCCTGCGACAACATGCAGCACCACATGAATGAACAGCATAAATAGTGATATTGGAATGATTTTTTCACTATCTAATGGAAAAAAATTGAAAGTACGTGTGGGAAATTTTCTCATTAAACCACAAGCCCCAAAAGAAAATCAATGCAGTCACAAAGAGCTGACTCCAAAAGCTGGGGATTTATATATTTTTATAAAGTAAATTTATAAGATACCATACTACGAAGAAAGTGAAACTTGATAACGGAAGAGATAATTTCATTGGCGTGTAACTCAGAGCGGCAGTGGCAGTCGGTGGCTTTCTTTACGATGGTGGAGAAGAAATCAAAAGACGAGAAGCCGTAACTATTTATTTGATATCATCACTGACTGATCACGCAATTGCTTCATCAACGCGGTTAATCAGAAAGCTAATGATAAGAAGCTTCGATGGTTTGTAGCAACGATTTCTTCAATAAACACAGAAACGAAAACATTGCATCATCTACGTTATACGCGGTTAATCAGAAAGCTAATGATAGGAAGCTTCGATGGTTTGTAGTGACGGATTCTGTAATAAATACAGAAACTAAAACATATTCTAACCACTTTGAAATTGCCCAAAAAACGGACACGCAGTTACTTCTTTGGGATGATTGGTGAGGCAGCCAAAAAGGAGAAGAAAGGGAGCTCGTTTATCATAAATGTGACGGCGCGAGGCGTGCCAGATCTGACTGGGGTGTCGTTCATCACTGTAGCTTTAGAGCTCACGTGGCACCTACAGTGAGCACTGCAGCGACGAGCTACAAGAACTTCGTGTGCAATGAGATGATGAGACGCAAATCTTCCGGAACGAATATACTCGGGTACAATCATAAATGAAATAATGTTTAAAAAAGAAAAACAAATAAATCGGACCGATTTGAAAGTGATATTAATTTAAAAAAATATAACTCAGTACTCACTGTAGTGAGTGACAGAGAGCGCATTTTCTCGTCGACGAAAACGTGAAGTCACGGACGGACAGACAGACGGACGGACAGATGGATATGGCGAGCACAATAGTGAATTTTTTCCATAAATTAGAAAATGCGCTAAAAAATATATATTTTCTTTGTGCGCATGGTTATTATACAAAACAGATTGACTGACCTCACGAATCTAGCAGGAAATAATATTTATTTCACAAATGGAAATAAGTTTTGAGGTTCAACAGGTACAGTTCAATGGTAATAAATGTTTCAATATCAACATATAGTGTACGTTACGACATGGAAATAAGCGGAAGGATTTGGATGAAACAGAAATTATTCTAGCAGAGAAGCAATGTGTCTGAACTTGATTTGTATAAGCATCTTACTTATATTTTATTTAAATTAATTATAAAATATAAACTGAAAACTGTCACCTCGTAAATAAGACTCGGCCACTGAAGAAGATCACCTGAATTGCAAGTTGTTTGAGCTTTCGTTTAGTTTGCAGACAATAGAAAATAAATTGACCGACTATATTCGAGAGAAACATTTTTACTTCGACTCAACTTCAGCTAAATTTTTCTGCAGACGAAACGTCAAAGGGAAATAGACGAGTCTTGATGAAAAATTCGTCTTTGAAGTTAGTATAGCTATAAGATATGTATCGTAGTGAGCAAAAGTTTCATACGACTTCTAGTTGAGATGATACAGCTGAGGGATACCTGCTAAATAAAGTTCTGCCTGCTCTAGTACAAATAAAAATATCTAGCGTCTATTACTAAGAAAAATATGATTTCGAGTTGAAAATTTTCTCCAACAAGTTGAGACAATTTTCGGTTAGATTCTCTCTGAAATAATTCATGAGAAGGTTCAGGTTTAGTTGCGGTTTGGAAAGGAATTCTTTTAAATGCGTAGAAATATTTTTTCAAAGAGAGTCTACTATGGAGTTACAGTATTAGTGCTTGAGAGAATTCGAAATTTGGTTATAAATACTTCACTAACATTCAGTACTTGAGGAAAACAGAGAGAATTTTCTTAGTATATATCTTCCGGATAGACAGATATTCGAGAATTAAGCATAAAAATGCGTAGATTTTCAACTTTTTTTAATTTGAAAATTCAATCAAATTTCGAAAAGGAGATTTTTTACAAATGATGAAGATTTAAACATCCACAGCTGTTAAAACCGCCAGATTATAACGAAAACGACAGAAAACCTGAGAATATTTTTATGAAACGCACAAATCTATGTAGAATAAATGTTTTAAACTAAATAAAATGCGACAACGTTTTTAGTGACAATTTCTGCAAAAACATGCTCATCATAGACTAATATTTAAAGAAACACCATTGACAAAGATTTTGTTTTACATCCAGTGGAATCAACACGTGTCATAGCAAAGAAGCAAATCTCGCTGGCGTGCGAATGAATTTTAAGAGTCGTCGAAATTTTACGACACGCGAGCATCTAACGATTTATAAACGAAATTTCTGAAATTTATTTCAACACGAAAAGGAAGATGAGACCTGTGATGACGCAAATCGTAGTTTGAAGATATTAATGACACGCTAATTAGGCGACAAACGTAAATAAAACATGTATGATTTGCATTTAATTGCTGCATGACACTTTAACTATTGCGATAAAACATCTGGCACCAAAATTGAGCACACAAACTCGAGGTAACTCAAATGTTGAATCTATTTCAAAATTCATTAAAATGTGAAAATCACTCGTACATTGAGATGCGGAATGATCATGCTAGAAGTGAATGTATTAACTCATACAAAATTAATGTTTAAAAAATTAATAGTAATTATATGTAGCTTTCAGGCGCCGATGCAAGCAATAGAGGAATTCTATTGTAAACTCGCTATTTAAAATTTAAAATCAAAACTTCAAAAGTCCAATGTAAAAATTAAGGAATATATAACAGTTTGGACTAAAAAAATTTATAAAAAATATTAAACGTTTTATCGCGGCGTAGAATATTCCAGTTGGGAAAATCCGAGGAATTCTACTCCATCTCCCAGAATGTAATTTTAAGTTAAGAGTTAGTCTAAAAGACTCAATTGATTAATTTAATAATCTTACCTCGTGATACCAGGTAACTTTGTAGGGTGGAGGGTTGGCGTTCACAGAACATACGAAGAAAACATCGACTCCCTCTCGTAAGTTTTTCGGGTCCAGACTCCTGCCCAAGCTGAGTTCCACTTCTGGAGCGTCTGAAATTGAATCAGTTTTTTTCGTCAGATACAAAAAATTTTAACTCGATAGCGCATTGGATGTTCGTTGTAAAACATGAAGTGGAAGTAACGTTATTTAATGGCTGCCGAGGCAAGGGTTACGGGACGGTTAGACACCATCAGATACTCCGCATAAAATTCACGATAAAAAAATCTTATTCATCCTACAACTTTAGAGTATACTGTTTAAATCCAATATATACAAGGAATAAAATCTAAAAATCTTCATTGAGGAGAATTTATTGCGTACGTATAATTTCGAGTCATCTGAGCAATGGTTCGACTTTGTTCGAATAATCTCTTCGGAAATCTAATCTCTTTGGAACCCTAACATGAATTATTTTATGAATAAAACTTTGATTTCAAGCTACAACGCGTGGTAATTTGTTTCATTTTTGCTTCAGGAACCTACTCCTTCTTGCTAATACTTTTTTAATGTTATTCTACTAATTTCTATGCTATGCATAGTGAAACTTTTGATTACAACTGTTTCTAATACGTCTCATCTATATACGGATTGGTCAGACGCGGGAGCAATATGTGACTCTTTTGTTTCCTTACATGAAGTGTAACGACTTCAGCAATTTCGAGACAGCACTTAGCAAATTTTAGAGAATATGGCATATTTATGGCAGCAATAAATTTATATCGAGCATTAACTCGACTCAAAATTATTTTACTTCACTCGTTCATTAAAGGTTTGTCCATCACTGACATAAACATGATTTTGACAGACTACTTATGTCTCTCACGCAATGATTTTTTCGAGGACAAAATTTTTGTTTCAAGCTATTCAGTAAGTCAAAACAATATATTACAACAATTTAGAAACAACAGCAATGCATTAAATAAAAAAAATTCAGAGAGCCACAACTATCATGAAAGCCAAAACAATAAATTACAACAATTTAGAAACAACAGCAATGCATTAAATGCGAAAAAAAATTCAAAGCGCCAAAATTTTTATAAATGTATATAACTTTAAAATGAATAAATATTTTGCCCTGAAAGTCGGAAAGCGACAATTGCTCGAGTGTTCCGGGGCGAAGGCAACTCACAGGAAACGTCGAGCTTGATGGCGGCCTCCACCGCGTCCGGCAGTTGCGGGTTGCGCGCGTTGCACCGCAACTCTCGGCCGTGGTCGCTGCGGCTCACGTTCAGGGTCAGGATGGAGCGCGTCAAGTTTTCCCGCTCAACAACCTGCACGTTATGACGGATACATCATGAAAAACGAAGAAAAATCATCATGAAAAAGGAAAATATGTCATGAAAAAATAAAAATTGTATGTTGAAATTTAAGTATTTAGTAGCATAGATTCTATTAATTTTATGGGCTGTTATTGCATCGGTTCACGTACAGTGTAATTATTCAGCGCTGTATATTTAGGTCTTCGTTCGCTGAAAGTTACGCAAACATGCCTTCAAGTGAAGTGCAACGTACTTACCTTAAATATATCAGTAACGTTGGAAAACTACAGCGCATGTAGCATCAAAGTTAAAAGAGATTGCGTTCACTAATCTCCTTATTAGCGAAGTGCACCATGCCCAAAGGGAAGAATTATCACGACCAGAATTTTGAAGATAAATCAGTAATATGATAATTTACTAACTTACTTTGAATGAAATGAAGTTCAAGAGTAAAACGCTCCTGAAGTAATAAACTAAATATCAATGCAGAAAACGATGAACACTCGCATTTATTTGGCCTGAGATTCCCAAGATTTCTCTCCAAGCGTCAAGTTTGGACACCGTAAAAAAGTTTCGACATTAACACCGAAACTTTCAACAAAACGACTCGTTGCGAACGCTATAAAACTCAAATTGCATGGCTGTTGAACTGAAGGCTCTTGGGCTTCCTAAAATATTGCATGTTGTCATTCAGAAACAATATCTTATAATAGAATAATACTATATAGAATAATACAATTTCACGACAATATAAAAGTTCATGAAAAATTGACAAACAGTCAAATAATTTTTATAAAATGGAAAAGTTATTAAATTGTGAACACATAAGGTCTCAAAAGCAGAAGGTTCAGGCAAAACTCGATCGATTGTAATGAGTTAAATGTGGCATGAACGATTAAGATCGTCAAAAAAATCGTTTAGTTATATTTGATTTAAAATCTTTTCAGTTGAACTAAAGTCAATAAATTTCTGATCAACGCCTAGAGATGACTTAAAGATATTAACTAAACTGATCCACGGCCGCTACATAATTAGACATCGCAAACAATTTCCAAGATCGACAAAAAGTCTGTGGAGCGCTGAATCACAGTGAATAATCACCCATATTATGAAATCCGTCCTTCATGGCTGAAAAACAAGCCTTAGTCAGCTCTCACGCTGATCTTTTTAGGCACACGAAATCTGAATAACCAATTTAGGATTCGAAGGCGAGTTCACCTTTGGCGGTCGACGGTAGCAATGCATATTGATGACGCGAGGCCTCACACAGTCTCTTCCTGTGTCCCCGTGGGGTTAGTTACTAACGAGGGTAACTCGGCTAGTCATATGGGAACAGCACGAGGTTGTGTATTGCGTATTTAATGTATTTTTGTATTTAATGTAATTTTTTTGCAGTGTATTTAATTTTTTTAATGTATTTATTTTCAATTTTTGTCATGTACATAATATATTTTTAATGAAGGAATTATAGCCCAAACGCACAAAAATATTGTTTTGGCAGACATTACTAGTATCAGTTCATCATTCCTGTATTACGTGAAGTATGCTTTTGCATGATGTTTAAAAACTGTTGCTTTCCCAATTTGATTACGACTGTTTAGAATGTATTTTGAGTAAACGAAAATTAAATGCATAAGAACTTAAAATGAATTATATTTAATGGACCTTGGCAGTGAGAGGCATCTTGGAGCCGCCATTTTGGTACCAGGTGACCACAGGCGGTGGGTTACTGCCCACGACTGAGCACATGAGCTTCGTGATGCGGCCTTCTGACAGCGGCTCTTCTGAAGGCAGAATCTCCACTGCCAGAGGTCCCGCTGGAGAAAAACAAAAGATTCGTTGGAAATTCTAAGTAATTAATCCATTAAATAACAGGTGCTTTTGATTTTTTGATTAACTTTTATTATAGAACTTCCAGGCGCTGAGTTCAACCTGTTGGCAGTGCGGGCATTTGTTTATTGTTGAAAAATGATCATCGTGTTAGATGTAAATACGATCGTTGAACTGAATAAAATATGTAAATTGGCGGTATGGTCACTTGACGTCTTTTTTAAATTTGACGCAAGTAACAGGTATAAACTACTCATATTATTGATTGCATGTAGGCTTACCTTTTGTATAGAAAAGAAATTCTAGAAAATATTCATTAAAATCTAATTTCGCTTCCTACATCCGAAATCCTACGCGTTTCTATTTCAACAAAACAATATACATTTCACGTGACGACAAAATCCCGTTAAAAAATTTCAACTTTTTGCACGTGATAGAACCGTCCTCTGAGAATTTAAGATATAAGTTTAGTTCTTATTCGTGAATGAAAATAACTTCTTCGAAGGTACAGTTTCGGGTTACAAGCAATCCTTTGAAAGTGAAATCTAAGCTGCGGAAAAATCAAGGCATAGCGAGTAAGAGAACTCGTTACATTATTCAAATGAAGTTATCCAGCGGCAGGCGGAGATAATACATTACTACGCTAGAAAACTAAACTTTTCTTATAGAGCCTCAGGCGCAGAGATCAACCTGTTGGCAGTGAGGGCATTGGTTTATTGTTGGAAAATATTCCTCGTATTAGATGTAAATACAATCTTTTTAAAACAATCTGAATCAAATAAATTATCCGAATGGTATTTTTTCAACGATTAACCGGGTTGAAAGCGCGTGACTTCATTTTTGATGAACACGTGGGGGTGGATAATATCCTGGATTAAATTAAACAAATTGTTTACAGAGCGTAGCATAAACATTTAAATTGTCATGCACTTGAAAATGTCTAACATGTTTTAAAAGAAGAGCTTTCCTTTTATTACTTAACTGAGCAGCAAGTAAAGAATACTCCATGTGCATGAACAAATTGAACAATAGGCGATAAAAATTAATATCAACGTGCTGCATATTGAATCCAGCTAGACATTCATAGGTACTAGACGATCGCCCGTAAATTATATTAGTCATTGCGGCTTCGAAGATCTACGGGGTAATTATACCAGAAGTCGTTCACGCTGACGCTTTCACCGTATAATTCCGTACCGTATTCTGAGCCTCAAGTAAATCAGGGCAACATTCCTGGCAGGCAATTTAATGAAATTAGTCTGGTTATTCGTACAGCCTAGAGACAAGAAATTAGAGTATTATTCAGATTAAATGGAACTTCAGATTAAATGGAAGTATATTTCAGAGTTAGCATTAGTCTTCACTCGCAGTAATCGGTGACACGCTCAAAATAATTTATTCATATAGCAATTTTCACGCTTGGTACATCATGGAAATTAGACATTTTTAAAATGAAATATTTGGGAACCTAAATTATGGCCTGAGATAAAAGTGAATTTATTTCCAGCAAGGGATAAAAATATATATTTTGTTGTATGAGGTACGATAATTCATTTATATAAATTATTGAACGTGTATAATTTCAGTAATTTTCTCATGTGCATTGCTTTGCATTTTTCATTAGCTCGCAGAGACCTATTTCTATATGATGGCAATTCATGAAAATGTATTCTTAAATCTGATAAAAGCGCACGAATTGTTAGAATAATGCCACATGCGAAGTTGTTAAAAGTTATTTAATTTATTTTTTGAAGGTACATTATACTTATTTGTGAATCTAATATTTGCTTTTAACTCGTAAATAGCGTCGAGGGGTCTGCCATTCCGACAAAATTATCCAGAAATGCACATTCAAAAGCGGCAATGAAGTTTGCACAATGTATTGAACCATATGCGACCACTAATGATTTACAAACATGCACAAACTCCGATTATATTCATCGTATTAGGATGAATACATTCATATGCTCATCCTAAATTCTCGCTTTATTTTAATTTATAATAACTTAAAAGGGGATTTAAAAAATCCCGATCGTAGAATTTAGCGCCAAGTCCATAACTCCTTTCGAATTATGGGAATTTTTAGGCCCCAATATTGTTTTTTATGTTTTCATCCCGGTATAATATTAGAATTACTTTAACTCTATTCACATCAGTAAATTGATTTTGAGCTGACATCACAGAAGATATAGCTTTTTATTGCCAAAACGAATATTCAGAACAAAATAATTAGCCAGCATTAAGATGAGGAAACCTGTACGTCTGAGCTCCGACATACCCTGTCGCGAATACATTTTATTTCTTGTTAGGAATTTCGTAGCATTAAATTTCGAATCACTAAACGGTGCCGCGAATTTATAAATTTATATTATAACACAGCAGTGATTTGCATGCGTACAGAATACCTCACTGTAACCTATTAGGACGTGAAACACGTTCTTCATTAACTTAAATATGAAGGTGGCAGGGTTGTGAGGATTTGGATGTCCTTTGCACGCTGCTGGGGCAACAGGCTGCGCATACGAAATAACCTCGGTTTCTGTGTGTACGGGACTGTCGATAGCGGCGAAATCAAAAGACAAAAATATTTGGCAGCCGTGATAGGGTATTCACATGAGGTGAGGAACAGCCCTGCCAAAATTTGTAGTACTTCCAATTTAAGTTTTATCCCACCACATAATACAGGGTGATTCACAAAAACTTCCTGTTATGTGTTTCGCGTCAAGTAGCCAGATGTTGTAGAAAAAATGGCAAAGAGTATTTTGTGGTCATGAAGAGTTGGAGGTCATAAAGTTTTGTGTAACGTCTATAGTCAGTGACCACTTTGCATTGAACAAGTGAGCAGCATGCGCTCGAACAATTGATTTACTATAACTGATATCGTAAATCAATTGTTTACAATGACTGTCCAAGAATCTACCTCATTTGAAGAACAACATATGCCAAGCCATGGCCAACTATACCGACTGAGTGCATTGACAATATAGGGGCCTTCATTTGTCCGATGTCATCTTTAAAACAAAGTGATGAAAAATTCAGATACTGTCTTTTTCAATAAAATTTATATTGTAATGATAGATTAAGACGTTTTTTTATTGACCTTTTAACTCAGGAAGTGTCTGCGATCACTCTGTTTTTGGAATGATGAAGCAATGCGTAAAATCACCAATGAAAGTTTTTGATCATTTTGTCATTTTGATTGATCATTTTGTCATCAAATTGACAACGGTGCGATCGCCCAATCAGGATGTAAAAGACTCAGAAAAGATCGCGAGATTATGAATATCATAATAAATAGTAAAGAGTGCAGTGGGCAGCAGTGAAGATTCCTAAGAAATTTTTTACCCAAATAAATAAAATCCTGAACCAAAAAGATCTTCGAAATTATTTTATAAGCAATTCTTGCATCAAGTTGCTACATGAATTTCACACAAATGATGAAATAAGTGCATTTCCTCGACGTCCGCAAAGGCATTTGCGCTGATAATTTGAAAGCTGCGGGTATTGCGCAAGATTGACATTTCTACTATTGCATTCAAAAAGTTGGAAAATGAGACATCAAAGAAAGCAAATGTAGGCCGCTTCAGTAAGGCATTCCATGAGTTACTCATTGAAATCTAAAATCGGTTTTATTGAGTGTTTAACACATTGCGAATATTAGTGCTTATTTGATAAGAACTTCTGCAATTTTCTAATTTATTTGCATGTACAGTTAGATACTATACATTAATTTTTTTTATCTTGGTTGCCCTATTACGTGAATCTATTTGGATAGGCGGAGTTATTTTTTTAGACTGCTTAAAAATAATAAAAAAAATTGGGTTTTGCTAGCTGATTTCCAACATTTTATACATAACTATGTTAATAGAAGTTTTTGAAACGTTCAAACTTTGATTTCTTCACTAAAGGAGGAAAAATAGTATGGCTGTAACATTATTTATATTTGAGTTCTACGAACGTTACAATTGCCGTCCGTCCTACAGCTCGTTAGAGTTCTTATATCTGTTTTTAAACATTAGGAAGAGAGTACGGCAAATTTTTTAATTGGACAGATAATTAATTTGATCAGTGAGCCATCAGCACCCTAATTGGGCATATTTTCACGCTCGTTATAGGTTTAATTATATTAAATATTGGTTTAATTATTAATTATATTATTGGTTCTTCAACACATAGCCCAGCGCTGTTCATGAGGCTGCTTGTAATAATATGTAATATGTTAAAGTTAACCAAGGTTTACCCAGTATTGCAGAGTACTCAGCAGGTTAATTAATCCAATGTGTATGTTAATCCCAGGAGGAGTTTGCGGAAAGCAGAATCTTTTCTTAATTTTAAGCGTCAATCTAGATTCTAGAGTGCAGGGTCGACAGGCATTATTTAAGTTTCTTAGGCCTTTCTTTAGTAGCACATGGACAGACAACTGCAAAATGTGATAAAATGAGTACAAAAACTAATAAAACGTAGAAAAGTTATGTAAAATTCAATCAGTATGTATGGAAATATGATAACCAATAAAAATGTGGGGTAAATGGGAAATTAATAAAAAATAAAAAGGCTTATGTGAGGAAATAAATAAAAAATATAACTCAGTGCTCACTGCAGTGAGTGGCAGAGAGCGCATTTTCTCGTCGACGAAAACTTGAAGTCATGGACGGACGGACAGACAGACAGACGGACATGCGAGCACAATAGTGCATTTTTCCCATAAATGAGAAAAATGCGCTAAAAACGTACTAAAAACTTGCGGGATACCAAGCGGAGATTTAACGACAGTAATGATCCTGAGAGAATATGTAAGACGTACTGGAAACGTTACGCGTGTAGTGCGCGTCCTCGGGCTTGGCGAGGTCGTTGTTAGAGGCGCGGCACACAAAGGGCGTCGTCAGGTCCGTCCGTGACGCCGGCACGTCGAGGGCGTTGAAGGCTTCGCCGTCGTCGGCGATGCTGTAGTTGCTGTCCACGACGCTGTCCCCTTGTAGCCACAACACCCGCGGCGTCGGATGACCTGCAGCCGAAATGAAGAAGGTGATTTTGATTGGTGAAAAATTTAAATAAGTTTTACAAAGGCCTGAGTTACTGTCCACGAAGCTGTCCCCTTGCAGCCACAACACGCGCGGCGTCGGATGACCTGTGGTCAAAACAAAGAACGTGATTTTGATTGGTGAAAAATTGAAGCAAGTTTCACATAAGACCCGAGTTACTGTCCACGACGCTGTCCCCTTGTAGCCACAACACGCGCGGCGTCGGATGACCTGCAGTCGAAATAAAAGAAGGTGATTTTGATTACTGAAAAATTGAAGCAAGTTTAGCAAAAGGCCTGAGTAACTGTCCACGAAGCTGTCCTCTTGAAGCCACACCGCCGTGGTGTCGGCTGCCCTGCACGTAACCAAAAACCAAAAAGAGAGAAATTCATGTGAATTATTGAAAAATTACAAAAAGTTTCGCAAAATCAAAAGGTTAATTCACTGCCCATGACCCTTTTTTTCGTCGCCAGAGTAACCGACGGCTTCGCGGTTCTGTAAAAATTAGGAAAACTTGTTATCAGTGTAAGTACTTTCAGCCAATTAATTCGAGCTTCAAGACCAACACACTCATCTTTCGTGGTGAGTGTAAGCGTGACGCTGCATTACCTGTTGCTGTTGTGTAATTAAGAGGAAAATATTACTCAGATTGCCGAACACGTCAAATTCATCGCCGGTGATGAAGTTGTTATATGCGACGCCATTCCCTTTAAGCCGCGACTCGCGTACGTAGGAAGACCAGTGACGGTGGAAGCATGTAAAATAAAATAGAAATGTGTATGCTGCTACATCGTCGCTGACGTAACTACCTACCAAAGCTCAGTCTGCCCTCAAGAGAATGGAATGAGCAAGATTTGTAGAGAAATAATGCAAACAATTTGGCAATACGAGTCTCTAACTTGGGTCACGAAAGTGGAAATTAGTCCCAGACGAATTATGTGGCTAGGTTAATAGAAAGATATCTTAAAAGTCATTTTACTTCATTTTAGATTGAATTAAATGAACGAATCATAAACTGTTGAATGGGATTCAACCTACTGGAAATTTTCTTTGATCATACGAACTCTTCAAATACTGCATGTGAATTTCAGCGAACAATAATATTGTTCGCAGCTCTGACTCATGAGGGAAGTTTTAATCAAGCATCCATCAAAAATTGATGATTTGAGTAGCTTCGCAATGCAATAGACGTACCTTAATATAGGTAATGCTCGAACTCCCAGGATAACAATCAAAACGTCGGGTGAAAGAAATTGATAGCTACAAAAACTCTTTGGAAGTTTTGATTTGACAGCGGAATGCAATTAAACATTGGATTAATTGCATCATTGATTCATAAATTGGAAATTTTTAAATTGGATGTAATTGGAAATTGGATGTATTTTTAATTTAAATTGGAATAATAAGCGTCACTTGTATAGGCTCCATTAAAAAAAAATGAAAATTAAAATAAGTACGAACATCGTTCAATCGTTCAATTTTCATCGAAGATATTCCTTTACATCACCTTTGACGAAAAATGGTGAATAAATCATAGCAATAATTAGAAATTCGCTGCATTTATAATCAAAATAATAAAAGAACCTTAAACGGTGACTATGGATGAAATATCACATTCAACTCTAGACATCATATCACGAAAAAAGCTCAATATTTGTCATCGGCGCCGGAAAAACGCAGGACATAGACATTCATTTAAAAAGCGTGACGGCCATACATAATATTGAAAAGCAGTCAAAAACTAAATCAATTTTTAATGCACTTTAAGGAGCTGTGCCTATACGTGTACTTTCAAGGCAACTGCCGTAGCGAGAGCAAACGAATCTCATTTCCTGTGTTAATTTGGAACTGTTTACGTGGTGGTACTGTTTGCAGACGGGCTCACAGACCTAATTATAGTAGCATTGAAATTGCCGTTGTTGGCAACGAATACAGTCAGCGACAGGAAGGAATTTCAACAAATTATGAAGCAATTAACGCAGGTTCAAAATGGAAGGCTAACTGCAGTGTGGCATGAACTTAATTTTCTCTTACATGTTAATTTTTACGTTTGGTGTACAGTTAATTTCGTTGTTTTTCCAGCCACGTGCATTCGACAGTTACAAGATAATCAGAGCACACACTATCACGATAACGTTTCCTACTTAGGGTCGTTTAATTAGCATGAAGCAGAGACTCAAAGACCGTTTTTGGATAATTTCAAACGTTTAATACACTAATTATGCTCACTCAATACGTAGCATTTTTTTAACACTTTTGTTCATTAAAACAAAGTCGTCAAAATATATATTTTCAGTAGCAAGTTTCACAGAATTATTATTGAAAAGCTTTGACTTCCATCAATAATCAGAAATTAAGTTCGAGTTCAAAATTAAAGCGTGCTACTATTAACATTTTAATAAGTCTGAAATTTACAGGATTTAGGCCGTATTCTTCTCATTATTATTACCGGTCAGAAATGTTCGAGAAACCCAAGACTATAAAACGCCTGGGTGCTTGCTTACTCAGCATCTTGCTAATAGATGAAGTTCACTGGTCGAGTCCGAGTCTGTGTTGGTGATCAAATGAATCGTAATCTTAGCAATAATGAACCCAGCCACGGGCAATTGCCGGCAATTGTCTGCCATTTGTGTGACATCAATGGTTGACTCGGACCCGAGATATCGCGCTGTGATGTTGGTCTTCAATTTATTACGGAGTCACGCGCGAGCAGCCTTTCACTGCTACAAATTGACGAGTGGGGTCCTTGCGCTGGAGTGACCAGAGTTTATGGCTAATAAAGTACTCATTAGTCACGGCTATGGATGCTAGTAAAAGAATGTTGAAAACATTACAGTAATTTGAAAGGGAAAGCATATACATTTGTCATCTTTTTAGATGATATGGCTATCACGGGCAAATTATACGTCAATGCAAAGAATTGATAATGGGTAGCTAATAAAACTACTTATCAGTCACGGGTATGGATGCTAGTAAAAGAATGTTGAAACCATTACAGTAATTTAAAACGGGAAGCATATACATTTGTCATCATTTTAGATGATTCGGTCAATGCAAAGCGTGGACAATGAGATAACAATTTGTGTTTCCACGACCTGAGAGGTTAAAATCATCTAAACCCAACAAAGATAGATAAAAAGGCATGTTTCATCGATTTAGTTGATAAGGAGGAAATTGTACGCGGTACAATATTTTTAGGAAATAATATTGAAGATTTAAAGAGCGTAAATTTAATCACTATGGTCGATTTAAACATTTAATTTATATCCCAAAAGAAAATTTGAAAGCCATCAGAATTGTTCCAAAATGAAGGAGGGATCAATTATTTAAAAGAACATTTACCAATTGTAAAAACGCCACCTCATCATTAGTTCCGTGCAATGATACGTTAGAAAACTAAACAGGGAAGATATTAAAGCGGCTACATGGCGTACAAACTATTTCTTTTCGTATTCATTAATAATGAATTATTTATGACATGGTGGCTAATATAGAAAATGATTTTTAGAACTAATGGTTTAATACACGTCGCTGGATTATGAATAATGAATTAAAATTACGCATAGAAAAATGATGGGTCACATTGTCCAAATAGTTTAATACTTTCTTACCTATAGCACAAGCAAAGAGCAGACGTAGCATTGATACGACTTTTTGCCGAGCCAAACTCGTTCAACAACTCAAGAGCAAAAAAAATGCATCGATACTCAGACAAAACATCACTTATTTCTCAGGGTATGTCATTAATACTGATGAAAATCATGAATTACCAATATTATGTAGGCACAAAAATGATGATGGATGGCAGATAAACCGGAATACAATTTTCAGAGAAGCAGGCGACTAATATTTCATGCGTACTCAACGACCTCCAGGTTCGCATCACTTCATCGAGCGGCATTGATCAAGGAACACGAAATTCCAGATCACCGATATGACCAATTCGAAGCAGCATAAAAAATATGGTAATTGGTTGCGACCGAACTAATTCTGGTTCACTGCGAGTCACTGGGAGCTAGGAAACAGGCAGAGAAGGTAGAAAAAAGTAGATGAATAATCGACCACGAAATTATTCATGAAGAATTGATCCACCATAGACAGGATTTTGTATTGGTATTTGGTATAGACCGCCATAGGCAGTATTTGAAAAGAGGTTCTTATATTTTGCCTATCATATCGGAGACGGTGAAATAAAATCATGAGTTACAATAAAAATATAATTAATTGTGCAAAGAAGTTCCAATATTTTGCATGTCGTCACGCAAACTGTGAAAACAAATCATGAGTTACTATAAAAATATGATTAATTAATTCAAGACACAGTAGGTTTCTATAAGCAGAATAAGTGAAAGCAATTTACCGCCTATTGCCTTGCAGATCACGTCGTTCTTGTCACCAAGCAGCACGGGCGTCTGTCGGACGATCACCTCGACGCGCTCCGGCGGCTCTGCGGTGAAAACAAACAAAAATTAGCGTTCAATAATTATATAAAATTATCAATACGTTGTCTATTATACGTTTATTGTAATAACATGCATAATAATACGCAATTGCTGCCTCAATTACGTCGGAACGACAAGAAATATTCTAGGTTATGTCGGGACTGTATCACAAAAATATGACTTTGAGATTCGTGAATGCATAATTAATTTAAAATTAAATATTCGTTAGGATCAATACAAATTGATATAATCTGTAACATTTTTGATTATTATTAATCAGTGCGGTACCTCCATCCTATCGCATTCGTATTGGGAAAATTTCTCCGATGCGCGTAGGAATGAATCTTTTATCAATAGGTTCAAGTCATTGATTGCATATCAGTTGCAAGTCGAGAGTAAAATCGAATTGAAAATTAACGGCACGTGAACGCCACCGGCCAAGCGTCGGCCGTTCATCATCATGAGATAAATAGCCTCTTTCTTTAACAGGGAA